GGGGTGTGTGGGTTGGGCCAGAGTTTGGGGCGGGGCCGAAACTGTGGCCTTCCCTGGATGCGTGCGCGGGCCTGTCTGGGGGAAGGCGGACAGGGCGATGGCCGGGACTCTAGCCCCTGGACCCTGAGCCAGACCCCTTGCGTCCAAAGCTGAAGCTCTGAGCCGCTGTGTGTTTCCTGTCACTGCTGTGACAAATGACCACAAACTTGGTGGCAGAAAACAAATTCATTCTTTTCCGTTTTGGAGGCCAGAAATCCAAAATGAGTCTCCAGGGCAAAAATCCAGGCATCAGCAGGACTGACTGCCTCAGGGGCTCCTTCCTCGCCGCCTCCAGATTCTGCAGGTGTCAGCAGTACCTGGCTTGTGGCTGCATCCCTCTGGTCTCGGCCCCCCTTCCCGCTGTCCTGTGATTGCATTTAGGGCCCACCTGGATAACCCCCATCTCAGTGACACAGGACAGTGTCACTGGTGGGGTCCTGCCCGAGCGGCCAAGGGGGTTCTAATGATGGCTTTGCACAAAAAAGAATTTGAGAGCCAGCTGACGAGGGAAACCGAGGGAAAGCGAGGGCAAGTTTGTTAAAAGAAGAATGGAACAGAACAGAGACCACTCTGTAGGTGGGGCAGCCCCTGTACATCGCTGGGGTCTCCGTTGAGAAATGAAAGCAAGTTGATTGAGATGACAGCGAATGGCCACTCCACGGGCGGCACGGCCTGGCAGGTCTGCAGGAAGAACACAGCTGGGCATCGCTGGGTTTTCTTTTTATGGCTGTCTCTTGATTACATCCTAAGCAAGGGGTGGGTGTTCATGGGTTTTCTGGGAAAGGGATGAGGAGTTCCCAGAACTGAGGGTTCCTCCCCTTCTTAAACCGTGTAGGGAAGCTTCTAGGCATTGCCATGGTAATTGTAAACCGGCATGGTGCTGGTGGGTTTGTCTTAGTTTGCTAATGTGTCCTAATTAGTGTATAATGAGCAAAAAAGGAGGGCAGAGGCCGTTTTCGATGCCATGTTGGTCTTGGCTAGTCTTGGCTGGTTTGGGTTGGTCTTCTCGTCACGTCCCATCTTGCCAGTGAGGTCCAGGCCTAGTGACCTTCGTGTTGGGAAACTCATTCCGCAGGATCCCTCTCTCATCAAGACCCTCGACTTAATCACATTTACAAGGTCCCTTTTGCCCCATAAAGTCACACAGTCACAGGCTCTGGGAACGAGGACGTGGACATCTTTGGAGGCCATTATCCAGCCAAGGGCAGCCACTGCGCCAGCTGGATGGAGCCCATGGGGACAGAGGCGGGAGGATCACTTGAGCACAGGAGTTGCTTGAGCCTGAACAACAGAGTAAGACCTCGTCTCTGCAATAAAATCCCAAAATTAGCCGGGTGTGGTGGCACACACCTGTAGTCCCAGGGAGGCTGAGACGGGAGGATCACCTGAGCCCAAGAGGTCAAGGCTGCGGTGAACCGCGATCATGCCACCACACTCCAGCATGGGCAACAGAGTGAGACTCCAACTCAAAAAAAAAAAATATGGGACCGCTCACAGTTGTATAGAGCAGGGTTGGGAAAGCTCCCATCCATCGGCCTATTTATATGAATGAAGTCTTCTTGAAACACAGCCATACTCATCATTGACATACCGCCCATGGCTCTGCTTTGGCAATGGAGATGAATCATTCTAGAGACCACTGACGGGTTGACTTTGTGGCCACGTGACCCGCACCATCGTGTGGGGCTGCACGTCACCACCCCAACCGGCTGCTGTCGCCATCTTGAAATTCTTCCCAGTTCTTAAACAAGGGACGTCGTGTTTTCATTTTGCCCTGAGCCCCGTTGGGTAGGTCCTGTCTATACGCTCCACAAAGCCTAAAAAATTCACTATTGGGCTCTTTACAGAAAGAAATTGCCTGATGCCTTGTCTGGAAAATAAAACAGGCGCCGGACTCATGACACATTCAAGGTAAAAAGGGAGGGACATGCATGGCGTCTCAGGAGAGCAGAGATGCCCCTCAGAGCTGAGGGTCCCTGGAGGTGTTGTGAGCAGGGTGCCTGCAGCAGCCCTGGGCGCCTTGAGGCCTCTGGAGGTTGGGCGGTGGGTGAGCAGGTGTGCTCAGGTCACAAAGGGGGTTCAGAGGCCAACACGCCAGGATGCAAAGTCAACCTCTCTTCTTCCTGGATCAATACAAAGGAGGCCAAACGTCAACGTGAATTATTCATTAGAGAAAAGGAGCCATTACGCATTGATTTCTGCCCACCTGCCCTGGCATTTGCTGCCTCAGCCAAAGCTGGGATGGTTTCACCTGCTGGTGAGAGGCCAGCCAGTGGCACTGCATATCTGGAGGACATAGGCAGAGGTCACACGTCGGAGAGAGCCTGAGCAGGCCACTGAGAAATTCTCCCCAACCCCACGCAGACGCGAGTTTGGATTTCCGCTCTGGTGATAGATCAGAGCCTCAGGCCTTTTGCAAAAACACAAAGACAAGAAGCAAAAATTTGGAGGTGCAGGTGTGGCCAGAGCCAGAGGATCCCCAGCCGGGGGCAGGGTCTGGCAGGGAACCTGCTTGGTAAATATTTGCTGAATCCACAAACGAATCGTTCTCGGCATGTCCTGGACCTGGAAGAGGCAGAATCACAGGACCCAGCGGGCCAGACCTCGCTCTCTGCAGCCCAGGGGTCAAATGTCGAGGTCCCCGTGGGACTCAGGGGCTGTCAGACCCCGGCGGCCTGGGGGGCGGGACCCCCTCTTCTCCGACCTGCCTTCTTCCCGCCCGGGAATTCCCAGGCCTGCAGGGACCACAGCTAAGGTAGCACAGCGCGACCCTCCCACCAGTCCAGGGCGGCAACCCACGGATGGATGGGCGGCTGGTCAAGGGCTCGTGTCTGGGTCCTGGCCACTCCAAGCAAATGTTGTCAGCAGCTGGCGGCCAGCTGGGGCTGTGTCCAGAAGACACTCCGCCACTGAGGGTGTCCAGAGAAGAGGACAGGGTCGAGTCCTGTCCACGGGAACTTGGCACTCGTGACAACCCGGCTGCGGGAGCCTCCTGGGGCCATCATGACAAACTGCCACTTACTGGGCAGCTGAAACAACAGGAATTGGTTCTTTTACTGTTAGGAGGGCAGGCGTCCAAGGTCAAGGAGTCAGCCGGACCATGCCCGCCCTCTCCGAAGGCTTCAGAGGAGGGGCTCCCTGCCTCTTCCAGCTCCTAGTGGCCCTGGTGTTCCGTGGCTTGTGGCCGCCTCACCCGATCTCTGCCTCTGTCTGTACCTGGCCTTCCCCTCTTCTCCCAGTGTCTCTTCTAAGGACAAACGTCATTGGAGGCAGGGTCCACGTTTTGATCTCACCTTGAAACCCTTAATGATGTCTTCAAAGACCCTTATTCCAAGCCAGGAGCCGTGGCTCACACCGTCATCCCAGCACTTTGGGAGGCTGAGGTGAGAGGATTGCTTGAGTCCAGGAATTCAAGACCAGCCTGGGCAACTTGGCGAGACCTCATCTCTACAATAAATCAAAAAATTAGCCTGGTGTGGTGGCTCGTGCCTGTGGTTCTAGCGACTTGGAAGGCTGAGGTAGAAGGATCACCTGAGCCCAGCAGGTCGGTGCAGTGGCCGTGAGCATGCCACTCAAAACAATAAAAAGGCCCTTATTGTAAATAAGTCCACATTCACAGGGTCTGGGGTCTGGAGTCAGGACGTGAGCACAGCTTTCCGGGGGATGCCATTCAGTCCCCTGGTAAGCAGGGCCTGCGGGTGATTCTTCCTCCAGGACAACGAGGGCAGGCAGGGCTGGGCCCCGCCCCTTTCTACGCCAGCCCTGCATCTGAGTGTGCAGAGTGTGACACACCTGCCTTGCTGACTTGAGGCCAAGACCCCATTCCAGGCACATCTGTGGGCTCAGAGTCTCAGGCAGTGACTGTGCTTTGTGCTGGCAATCACGAAATGTGTGGGCCACGAGCAAAGGCATAACTCAAAGGGTTCCTTCTCTTTATTTGTTCTTTTGAGTCGGGGTCTCACTCTGTCACCCAGGCTGGAGTGCAGGGGCATGATCACAACTTGACCTCCTGGGCTCAGGCGATCCTCCTGCCTCAACCTCCTAGTAGCTGGGACTACAGGCACATGCCACTACGCTGGATAATTTTTGTATTTTTGGGAGAGATGAGGCCTCACTTTGTTGCCCAGGCTGGTCTCGACCTCTCAGGCTCAAGCAATCCTCCCACCTAGGCCTCCCAGGTGCTGGGATGACAGGCGAGAGCCACCACACCCAATCTTCTTCCTTCTCTTTCTCATCCGTCGTCTCTGGGGCCCTCCGTCTTCCCTAACACAGAAGTCCCAGACTTCAAGGGCACCGAGGAGGACGTGGCACTCAGAACTCCACTCTCGGGCTTTAGGCTCTGGCATCTGGGCTTGTTGAGATTCACAGGACAGGGAAGAAGTGTGAGAGGACCCCACAGGACACGAAGTTGGAGCCGTGGGACTTTGGCCAAAGGAACCATGAAAGGGAAGCATCTGGGAATGGGGATAATTCACGTATGGGTGACCAGAAACACGGGTGAGACGTAATTATCCCAAAACAATGTACAAATGGGGGACAAGGGGACCAAGCTCAGAACCCCAAGACACCCACACTTGGGAAGAGAAGAGAGAGGATGCCATTGGGAGGATGGACAGAACCCCAAGAGGGAAGGAGACCACAGAGCCAAGAACCACCCAGGATTCCTGGGAGTGGGGGGGGGTGTTTCATGGGCGCAAACCCACCTCTGTTGAGGACTAGCTGTGGGGCTCTTGGGAAAATGCTCCCTGAACCTCAGCTCTGACTTCTGAAAAGATTGTTTGAAGACTCGAAATACTATACCCAAGACACCTAAGAGTTGGCTGCCAGAAAGCACCAGAAGGCTAATATTTGTTGAGTACTCACTGGGAACTAGGTTCCTTACAGATATTTTTCTACATAATAGTTTGACACGTCACGCCCTGCGGTGAGCACAATGGCCACCACTTGCAGATGGGGAAACTGAGGCAGGTAAGACACGTGTTTTCGGCGATTCGTCTCATTCCATGGCAGAGTCTGGAATTCTGAATCAAGGAGAAAGCGGTGAATGATTTCTCCTGCTGCAAAGTCGAGGCGAGGGTGAGAATCCCAGTGTGACTGTTGGGTGAGGCAATTTGGAATTTGGCCGAAGGATGTTGACCGCTGGTGTGTGACCTGTGAAGACTGGTCAGTGGAGGGTGCAAGTTAAAAGAAGACGTCAGCAAATGTCAAACTGAACAGAGAAGGCCGGGCGTGGTGGCTCATGCCTGTCATTCCAGCACTTTGGGAGGCCGAGGCTGGAGGATCACCTGAGCCCAGGAGTTTGAGGCGGTGGTGAACTGTGATTGTGTCGCTGCACTCCAGCCTGGGCAACAGAGTCAGACCCCAACTCAAAAAAAAATTAAATAGAGAAAGACATTTCTAAGCATCACGGTTCTAGAGCTCTGTCAGTGGAGACTGCGGGAGCTTGGCAGGGGCTGGGGAAAAGGGGTTCAGGTGCAGAGTAACGAATTAAAATAGGGGGGCTCTCAAGCCCCTTCCAGCCCGGAGACTCCATGAAGTTGCAATGCTTTGATGCATCCCACCCCATCCCACCCCACCTATGGCTTTGGGGGAGAAGATGCCGAGACCTCAGGTGTCCCTAAATCACATGCAACGTCCGACTTATCTGCAAAAAATACGGGTTTTGCAGCGAGAGCGTAAGCAAACGAACGTCTTGCATGACCCTTGACCCCACCGTGGCAAAGCCGGGATTTGCACCTCATAACATTATTATTATTTTTTTTGAGTTGGAGTCTCACTCTGTCGCCCAGACTGGAGTGCAGTGACCGCTCCCGGGCACCGCAGCCTCGACCTGCTGGGCTCCAGCTATCCTTCTACCTCAGCCTTCCGAGTAGCTGGAATTACAGGCATGCGCTATCACACCCGGCTGATTTTTTTGGTTTTTATTGTGGAGATGAGGCGGGTCTTGAACCCGCGAGTTCAGGCAATCCACTCACCTCAGCCTCCCAAGGCATGGGATTATAGGCTGAGCCACCGAGCCCGGCTTATTTAGGGTTTTATAGTAGACTTTATAGGCACTAATAGACTTTCATATAAGATGAAGTTAAAAAAAATATGTTTATTAAAAGCTTTTAAATATAATCTTGACTTATTCAAGAGAATCTCTGTCTTTGCAGAGTTCATTGCCAAATTTCAAACAAAGTGAGTTTTCTGTTGTTCGACAGCATGAGGAATTTATCTGGCTTCATGATTCCTTTGTTGAAAATGAAGACTATGCAGGTTACATTGTAAGTACTGAGATGCCATTTTAATCCCATTTTCTCTTTAATCATTTTCTAGGCGACTTAAAAAGACCGTGTTAGAATCTTGTTTAGTGTTTTTAATGAACTTGTGACATTTTTTAAATTGCCAGTTACAAAACATGTTTGGCTACCACATTTTTTTTTTTTTTTTGAGTTGAAGTCTCACTCCATCACCCAGTCTGGAGTGCAGTGGCATGCTCACGGCCATCCCAGTGTCGACCTTCTGGGCTCAAGCATTCCTTCTGCCTCAGTCTTCCAAGTAGCCGGAACTACAGGCATGCTCTACCCCACCCGGCTAATTTTTTATTGTAGAGATGAGGTCTCCCCAAGTTGCCCGGGCTGGTCTTGAACCCACAGGCTCAGGCAATCCACTCGCCTCGGACTTCCAAAGTGCTGGGATTACTGGCTTAGCCACCAAGTGTGTCTGGCTACCACATTTTATCCTGAATTCTTTTGGGAATAAGTTATTCTCCCTCATTTGAACATAAATTCTTTTTTTTTTTTTTTTGAGTGAGAATCTTACTCTGTTTCCCAGGCTGGGGCACAGTGGCACACTTACAGCCACCGTAGCCTTGACCTGCTGGGCTCAGGTGATCCTTTCTCCTCAGCCTTCTAAGTAGCTGGAACCATAGGGATGTACCACCACACCCGGCTAATTTTTGATTTATTGTAGAGATGAGGTCTCACCATTTTACTCAGGCTGGTCTCAAACCTCAGCTCAGGCAGTCCTCTTACCTCGCCCTCCCAAAGTGCTGGGATTACAGGTGTGAGCCACTGCTCCCAGCTTAAATGTAAATTCTTACTGTTTATTAGAAATGAAATGGGTTTTTCCTAGGGGTTAATGGGATGTTACAAACCATGCTGGTTTTGAACCCTTAGGTGGACAAATACTTAGAGTTGAAGGTCTCCCTAAGAAGTTATCATACCTTAATGTGCACCAGATTTTGTAAAGAATAGGTAGATGGTTATTCTGCCTCATCTGTTGACCACAGTTAGAGTTTTGAGATTTTTGATTTTTTTTGGAAATCATCATGACCTGATTCCATCTCTATCCTGTGGCTTCCACTTCTTTTTCGTCATTTGTTTCTTTTTCTTTCCATAGCTCAGATTTTGGTGAATGACTGGTAGTACATTCTTTTCCAATTTTCTTTCTGCCTACCCCCCACCTTCTTGTCTGATGGTACTTTTTTTTTTTTTTTTT